CTGAAATACGCTCATCGCGCTCACCTGGGTGACAACTATACCATTAACAGAGCAAGAGATTTGATTTGATTTGGCCAGGAATGGCGGGTCAAATCTGTGATCATGTGTCTAACTGTGTGGCGTGCCGTTAATACGAAATCAGGCAGATGAAGGAACTAATGACGCTGCATGATGCCAATGATCGACCGTGGCAGAAGGTGAAGGTGGATTAATTCTGCATCACATGGGGAAGATTAGCTACTCACGGCGGATTACTATAGTGCTTATTTCGAAGTGGATTTACTCACCTCTACGACCAGTGAAGCAGTAAGCCACAAGCTTAGATGTCAATTCGCGCGGCACGGAATACAGGAAGAGCAGCTCTCTGATAAAGGTCTTCAGTTAACTAACGCTCCGTTCCAGGCGTATGCAACCACGTGGGAATTCATGTACAAGAAGGCCAGCCCATATCATAGCCAAGCGAATGGAAAGACATTGTCATCAGTGAAACAGGTCAAACGACTGTTATTAAAGGCTAGAGCTACTGGTGAAGACCCGCACTTCATGTTATGGAGAATGGCAACACCCCTTCAACGGACATCGGTGTGAGCCCAGGGCAGCTCTTATACAGTCGAAGGAGTAGAACACTGATACCAGCATCTGCTACAATCCTGTGACCCCTTTCGCCACAGCATGAGAGGTTACAAAACGATCTGAGAAGACGAATGGCCACCCAAAAATGCTACTAGACTGAGGTGCACGGATACTGCCTGAACTAACAGTGGGGGAGGAAGTGTGGGTTCAGTCAGCACCCGATGGTCAAGAACGTTGGAAGTTAGGGGTGGTGAGTGTGAAGATCGGTGCCAGGTCATACGAAATAAAGGTTGAAGGGAAAGCGCTCAGAAAAAATCGTGCGCATTCGAGACGACACCGGAGATAACAAGGCGGACTGGGTGGGGATCGTCCGATGGCGTGTGGTAAGGAGAGTATGGCCGCGGACACAAAGACGATGACGCAGTGGCAAGTTGTAGGGGTTTTTAGCAATATGGAGGCTCAATGGCATGAAAAAAGCGAGGATGTGATGGGAGTGTCATACAAGTGTGAACGGACGGGCCAACAGAGCGAGTCAGATAGCCAATGAGAGGCTGGACGTGGATTGACCGACATTCATGTGAGTTAATCATAGCTTGTGTAACTGAGTCAAAAGAAGTACCTCCTAGCCTCAGAACAGTCGTTAGTTATGGACGTGAGCGCGTTCCTGATAGCAAGGAGTTTGGCTTGCCAAACGTGCTGTAGTTTTGCTGAGTTGTCTTTGTTGAATAAACGCTTGACATTGAAGGACTGAGTTTTGCAACGGTGTCGTTTACATGAAATCACCCTGACTGCTGCAGGGGACGCCTGCTTCTGCTTGACAACGATTGGTGGTATCCACTACCCTGAGTGTCAATTTGTGGTGGGCAACATGAGCAAAACACAGTACAAGGTATCCGCCTCACATTCTCCCAACTAAATTCTGTCAAGGTGTGTAACTGCTCTCAGGGTCTTAACAAAGCGTAAACGCATTCGTGTCGATACTGTTTAATCGAATTTATGAGCGCATAATCCCTACCAGATCGGTGCACATTACCCGGCATTCGTGGGCTCTGTGAATACATCCAAGCCAGACATTTTCAAGGTCCTGACTGAGCCGTTGCCTGTTTTATCATGGAAAGACTTTCCACTTCCTCGGGTAAAACCGCAAGACACTGATGATGAAAAATCATCCAAGTACAACAGCTAATCTCAAAAATTCCTTCACACTGAAGGCCTAGAAGAAACCGAGAGCATGGCTAGTAGTAAGAGAAACAGATGAAATGATTGGTAATCTTGGTCTTGGACCCTGCTCACTATACGTGAACTTATGTGCTAGAACAGTTGTTACCTGTGCATATTCTTCAGTCACCATTCTATCTACGGAATCGTCGCTACAAATGAATAGAGGCTTCGAAAACGCGAGGAGCCAATGAAATGAAAGGAAAATTATTTAACAACTCATGCGTACCGTTTACAAGTTGAAATATTACTGACCGTAACAGTGCAGTAATCGCGATTTGTTAAAATGTGGTTAACCGTGGAACCGGGGAACCGAATAACCCGTTGCTCTACATTGCAATCATTCCGTTTTATGACAACACTCAGGCATCAGGCAGGTAGCATTACTCAGCCATTGGATGGGACTTGTAGTGAAGGAACTATGATCCAAACAAACCCGTAACACATATTCACCTGATTGGAAGCTGTGAGACTCGTATATGGAAACAAGGCCCAAGTGTGCAACTATAAAGCATGTGCACCGATCTCGTTCGCATACTACCGACCAGGCCTTTCACAGTTGACCATGATTAAGATGAATGTGATGATACACAATGTCTTGCTGTTACTAGTGGCGCTCACTTCTTTCAACGTACAGCTCTGAGTCATGAGATGTACTCCCGATCAGTAAAAATCTGGTGGGAAGTAAACATCTTCTGATACTGCGGACACTGCAAACTGACATCTCAATCAAACGGCACCTTCCCCCAAAACTAACAATGATCCTCTAACCGCTGTGTCATTTCGCGGCTTGCATAGCTCTGGATTCGTGACCAAGGCGTAAAGCGTCAAACATAATGTATCGGATTCCACTCTCTTTTCAGGCTATCTCTGCTTGGATGAATCAGATCGTGCAAAGAGCGGCGCCGAAACTTTCCACTGCAGAGTTGATTAACTTCAATCTAAAACGCTGTCTCAATTGAGATTGCGTGTTGCCGTCCAGACACACGACTAATAAACTAAAACCTAACAATCTAAGGAATTTCATTTACCAATGCAGTCGAACCCGATGAAATCCAATCTCTATTCCAACGTTTCCAGTCAGATGAACAACCCGTCATTATGCCTGTTATCACAGAGCTGAGGGAGACATTCACATAGACATTCAACTCATTCATGTTGTGGCACGACAGCTGTCATCCCGTTCAGCTTGCCGTTTCCACCCCACTGGTGGCATGACAGGGGGTGTGCATTCCGTGTGGTGTGCACTAAGCCATGTTTGCAATTTACGAACACTCGCCACACAGATTATTCATTGCAGTAGTGTGCTATCCAGGGTTGAGGATGAGGTCTTGGGCACATACTAGCCCACATTAGCCAGGTAATGAGGACGTTCGTGCTGATCATTTGTATCACTTAGACTTAAGATTTTGGTCAGCGCAAAATTAAAGAAATTGGCCTAACAAGAGGCAATTCCAGATTGCTCAGCAGGTATGTTCTTGCTTCTCTAAGACCCAGCAACGAAACCAGTAGAGTGATGTTTGCGACCATCATCACAATACTTGCGGTTTTGGCCATTTGGTAGTAGGATCAGGATCATTGAGGGATATCGTGTTTGGCTATCCTTGGGGCGCTGTCAGTAGCGGCGTATAGCAAAAATTATCAAGTACTCGACAGAGGTCTAATAACATAGCGTAAATGTGAGAATTGCATAACACGTAAGTAGCTAGTCCTCTTGACCCATCCTAGTAAAACATTGCGGACATTGGGGTTTAACGCAAGAACTACACCTACCTTGCGCCAACGATAATACGAAATCTGTCACCAACCTTTAAAACAAATAGATGGACTATTCATAATGATGCAGTCACACAAATTTCAATAATTCTCACTGTTCTGAATGAAAACCTGTGTCATAATCTGATCGACGTGATCGGAAAGGAGAGAGTAATACACCGAAAACGAACTAAAGCCCTAATCTCGTAGGATGACAGTTTGGCACGTCAGCAAGAGCTAATAGCTATAGGTAATTGCAAGGCCACTTACATAGGCATGACAGCGCTAGTTGCGGGTGAGGATCGTTCAGCATATTACCGTTCACCAACCCAGGTGCGCAGCCAAAGAACTCAAGCGATCAGCCATCCAAGACGCCTGCACCATCGATCGTCTGCCGTCTGCTGACAGACAAACACTGTGTTGGCCCTATGCGTATGTTCCGTATGATGTACGTAGCGAACAATGCTCGTAAGTCGCGATCCACTAAAACGGTCACCATCACAGCTTGATCCCGGTCTGTGTGTGCAGAAGGACGCGTTTGTCACACTGGCTCTACTTTGGTAGTAAGCCAGTAGACAGCTATGTCCTATATAGCTGCTGTCTTTCGGGGCCAACCTTGTCCTCTGCAACCTTCGTAACTTGCATCGCAGTGGAGGATAAGACGCGCTATATCGCAGTTAGCTTGTAACTCATGACGGTCCGAAGCTGTCCACCGTGGCCCAGTGGTATAAGCTGCTGACTGGCAGTGCAAGCCGATGGTAGTCATGGGTTCGAATCCTGATGGGTCCGATAGATGCGCGCTACTGATGATGTCCAACAGACTGAAAGTGCATTCTAGCGCTTTTCCGGGTATGTGGACGACTATCTGATTCGGAACTGGCTGCGAGGAACCCATAATTAAGTTGGAGGATGGACAAAAATGTGTGTATGCGTGTACGTTTGTGTGTACACATATTGGTGTATTTGTTATCCCAACTTTAGTAACTCCTCATAATGCTATAAGCTTGCACGTGTTCTGTAGTAAGCACTTGACAATTGGCAGAGAAATTTGTCCGAAATCAAATCGTGCGGTACCTTAACAATTTTACTGAAAATAGCCACAAGGTCCATTGGAACCAAAGCATTCCGACTAAGTTGAAAAATATTTCCGAGAGCGGAAAACAGCTGAAAGGTTTGAAAGAAACCAATGGCCGGACTCCATGTGCTGTTTACATGACAAAGGTTGTGTCCAGGGATCGCTTCCCTATTCTATAGCATGATAGACTGACAGACTAAGATTTAGCTTGACTTCCAATTAGAATGAGCGCACCGTGCAAATACCTCCAAGTTGTGCCAAAAGTAATTTCTTCCTCCATTGAGAATGAATGAAAAATCATACTGCAATCGGTTTCATTTGGTCACTGTTCAGTTGCGTAAATTAATGTAAAGCGTTTAAGAAATCACGAATGACTTACAAGGAAAATTTTTCATCCCACACTGGATTAAGTTCTTGGAGCACCGTTTTAGTCCTCCTCCGAACCTTGCCAACTTGGACTGTCACATACGGATCACTGCGACCAGTTTTGTCCTTACCGATGAGACCTTGCGCTGATTTCACTAGAGGGGTTGAATGATAACACAGAGTTTAAGCCATCAGAAGATATGTTTGTCCAGATGGCCTCTTGAATCAGATGGAAAATTCAGATTTTCGATGAAGAAAACACTGGGCCCTGGTCACACTTGATGACACAATCTATAGCCATGATAGAACGGGTTTGTGTGGGACGCAAAAGGATCTCATCCATGTTGGCCGCGGCAATACTAATTAGCAAGCCGCCAATCCTCACTAAGCGCACACAGGGGTAACTAACGGCTGAGCATGTTGCACGTAGTGAAACCATGCCTTGACAGATGGGTGTCACGAACGTGAATGCGAAACTTTTGCTGGTTCAGCTAATTTCAGGTACACACACACATTGGCTTAGCATAGTATTTTTATGTTTGGTGTTGAAATTATTCCCTTAGATTTGCAGACTATGCTGGCCGAATTCTAACACGCTACGCATTTCGACGATAACCTGATATACAAACACAATTTCCGATGTTGTATAACCACTGTTTAGCTCAGACAGAGCTTAATGGCTACCAACTTTTAATATTTGACATTAGTTGTAGCATGTCTTTCCCATTTGGCTGGCTAGCCGAACAACCTCCTCGTGGTGCCAGCTGGGTGATTCGGGTTTACCCCCTTTCAGCAAATAGTTCGGCGGCAGTGTTCCAGGACGTGGTGGGTTTTCGCCTGGCAAGCGTTCTCCCTATAAAAAGCCACATATGTCCGTTTAACAACACTGTGACGTGGCGGTTGTGACTCGCCACTAACTAAAGTCACCCATTGCTTATCCGAACAATCGCTTCAAGTCCACAGATAGCAAGCACTGGCGACACCTTCAAACACATTCAAGCAAAATGACAGGAAACATTTACCAATCCCATAAACAAAGCTAAACACGCCTACATGCAAACTTACATACATCCATATATAAACATATGCAACAATCCCATTGTTCCATTGTACATTAACTGATCACATTTTGTACTCTTAACATGATCATGCCTGCGCAGGCGTGCCTCGCTTAGTCGAGAATACACATTTTATTTATTTATTTATTTATTTACGAAATGCAATAATGTGTTTTATTACATCGAGGTTGAACCAAATTCCTTGGCACAGGAAAGTCATAAGTTGTTATCCACCAACAGTGTACAATTCTTGATGCGGGATTATTTTACCTCGGTTCTTTGCTTTCACTGGACAGGTACACATCACAGTTACAATAACCCGCAGCTTACGTGAAATGATACCGAAAATCATTGCCCTGATTGAGTAAGAAATCAGCCTGGATAGAACTCGTCTCCGCGCACTACCGCAACGTTACTGTTTATTATTGTCCATCTAGATCGGTGGTGCTTAACATTTTTGAGGCTGTTACCCACAAACCGTGTTCACTAGAAACAATTACTCCACAAACGTTTAGTATAAAAACCAGTTAGCTATAAACTATTGCAAGTTTGTCTTAAATTACGGAAAATAAATACTACTTTTAACGTACTTTCAAGCCTACAAAGCAAGAAAACATTTATTTCTAGGCAATTTTTATATAATATATATAATATATATTAAGATATTCATATAATATAAGGTGAGGTAGCTAATTGGTACAATTGATATTGATTAGTCCTAACATGTTCTGCTATATGGGGTGTGGTCTCGGCTAATGCAAGTTCATTCGGTGCCTTGCTTTGGTGTATGATCGTTGATCAAACAGGAACAGATGACAGTAGTTTTTCATTAGGTTCGGCCATTATTTCCAAATCCGTCCTGGAGGACAGCATCCAACTGCATAACGGTATCGATACATCATGAACACAGCCTGTTTTGTCTCTTCCACTTTGCGAACGTTCGCTCATTCATTTACCTAGTCGGCCGACCCATGCTCCTGCTCTAGTGTTCACTCAACTCTGTACTTCGACCCGACGAACGACTGCCTGCAACAAAGGAACAATGATGGACAAGCAAACCGATAGAGACGCCATCTAGCTGAGCTGCTTTTCAGCCTCGCATTCGGAGTTTAGGTAATGAAAATTATTTCCGAATATTGTCATGTTCACTGATCACTCACTAATGATTAGTCACTGATGGCTAATCAATAGTGGTTAGGTAGTTAGTTACGTGGTCTGATACAGATGAGTTTGTTATTAATTTTGTTTGGGGACAGATAAACGACCCTATCCTCGTAGTTTCACCTCAAATTAAATTCCATTTCACCGCATTGGGGGTAATTACCCCCAGATTGTGAACCACTGATCCAGAGAAACGCGCCAAGATTGTGCTAAAAATGCTACTCCACAATGTGTTTAACAAAAAATCTGGCAATGTTACTTATCTCGACTATCCCTAGAGTTTAGTTGGCTGTGGAAACTAAATTTGAGCTCTGCCATATATTCAATATAACTCATAAACATGTTTCTACTTTCAAACTATAGGCAGCGCTTCAGCGTTCCGTTAACGTTAGTTAAAAGTATAGAGCAAAACGTCAAACAAAGACGAAAAGTCATACGGACAGACATCTATCTAACTCATTGCGCAGTTACCAGGAGTAGACTATCCCATACGTTTAGAACGTGTGATTAAGCACGGATTTTCCGACCCTTTTATTGACCATAATAACAGAATTGACAGTCGGCAAAATAATGGATACAATAAAGTTTATCGTTACATGAATGCGAGCCCGATGGGATATACTAATTCGTATAAAAACAAATGAAACGAAGGTGAACAGTAAATCCTACATTCGGTTACACCAATACACGCCCTAACTCATCGAAAAAACACTGCACACCTACGAAGCGCAAGTGAATGTATAACTTGAAACATCGAGTCCCATTTCTGCCTATACGTCCTAACCCTACGCCAATCTAGCTCGACGATGTGCTATGCGACCGTGGCAGCCTGGACACACTGACACATTTCAAATTAAGAGGTCGCCTTAATGTAACAGCATTGTTTTTCTCGTTTCAAACTCAAACCGTGTCTAAGGAAAACATGTACGCAGCCCTGGGTTAGGTAGTCGAATCCCATCTTCCAGGATGCGTTTCACCACTACTCTATCTTCCACTCCTTGTTTTATCTGCATTGACTATGCTTAGAAATAGAACACACTGACATATTTTAGAGTTATGTGGTCCCATTTTCTTAGAATTCCATTTTTATCTTTACCAGCATGTATCACCACAATTTCCACACAGGCAAACCTACTCCGCATTTTTCGTGTCCACGTGGAAATCGATAATCCTGCGTAAGAGAATTTTCAACCCCAGCTTGTTTTTACTCAACTACATTTGCCTCATGTTGCACCATTGAAAACAGAAACGTAGCAATCATCCGACTGGCCAGCCCCATTCGAATCTTCTGATTAGTTTATACCAAAAACTGGTGGACGCATTAGCATTTCATAGTTAAATGCTCCGATTAGGACACTCAGTGTTGATTTCACAAGAAACGCGTTACTCCCCGCACCCGCATACACACTTCCCCGTACCTATCGAAACCCGTTTACGGTACTCAATTTAGCAAGAGAATAGCAAATGGAAGCAGAACACACTCCCTCCCCATTATTCTGAAAAGCATCCATTTTATAAACTTGCCGGGTATAACTATGCACCTTTGTGGCAATAATCCATCTTGCAGATAAGGGAATTAGAAACTGAGCACTGCGTTGCCAAATAGTACTAATAGGCTATCAGGGTGGAAATAGAAAATATCCATACGCTGACGAGTAGGAAGGGAAGGAGAAAAGAATGCAAGTTTGCAGTATGTGAAATTGAAGTTCACAGTCCTGCCTTCAGTGTGTCCCTAATCCAGGGTCTCCTATAGAAAATACAGTTTTCTTGCTCCCCTGTGCAGAACTCTCTTTGGTGTTCTAACCGTTACTTCCAGCAAGAGACCATCTGTGCCCGTCTGGATGCATTCACAATACCCCATTGGCCACATGCCTTATGGGTTACGCGTATCAGGGACCAAATATGGATCGTCGACTTTAAAGTCTTGACTTTTCTTGTGTCACTTTAGCCTGGTTAGTACAGTCAAACTTGTTTACAGCGCGAACTCAAGGGATCGACAAGAGGGGGTTGCCTTGGACAGGTGGTTATGATGGACAGGTTTTTCACAGGGACATTATTCATAGAAAACGTTGGTGATAGTTCTGGCTGTTCGCCATAGACAGGTGGTCGCCATGGTAGGTTGCACTGTAGTAACCGGAGATAGCATCTGGTCCACATTTTCCATAAGTCGAAGGATTGACGTTGCACTTGCTTTCACAGTCTGTTTAGCCTGTCATAGCGTTTGGGTTTTTTAACTTCCACCGTGCTTTCAGCCCGTATTAGCGATTAGTTTGGTCATAAAGTAGCTCATCCCTCTGGATGTGGGCGATTTGGAACCAATGGTCTTCGGTCAAGTGTACATTCAACTTCAATCATCACTATGAGGAGCAATTTACCGTGGATTAGCTGAACACCAAAAATCGACCAAATATATTCCTGATTGACGGTTTCATGCAACACCATGAGTCTCCCCAATAACGTCCATATAGGAGGGGGCTTAAAAGCCACTCACAGTTGCTCTCAATCCTCTTACGGGTTGTCAAGCCATGGTTTCAGAACCTGATTAGATTTTCGTGCTCGGTCTCAGCTCAGCGTAAACTTGAGTTATTGCAGACTGTCAACGAAACTCCGCGTCTAGATGTAAACCAAGTAAATACACAGAGGACGGAATCTGTGTCTGTCTCACCTATCACTAATGTGTACCGCCATCGCAGATAAGCAAGAGCAAATGTTGGTGGTATCTCTTTTCCATGCACTACTTCAGCTGGATAGATAGCGGACCAAAATAATCAACCCCAATATCAGTGAACGTTGGCCGAAAGTTTAGAAGTCCAACTATCATGACAGATGCTATATGTTGTCTACAAGTTATGGGGTTCTAAGTCTTACACATTGCACAGCTTCGTAAAGCTCTTCATACGGCTGATATACCTCGCGAGATCCAAATTTTTCACCTC